TTCCTCGACATGAGGAATAGAAAAGCTCCGGATGCGGCTAGCGCTGCAGCCACACATATCACGAAACGCTCTAATCGCAAGCTCACTTCCACAATCGTGTTACTGTCTATCGAGATGTCGTTCTGTTCCATTGCTTCTGACCTCTCCACAGGTGTCAAGCTGCGTAGCTTGTGGTCATAATTCGCAGGAGTGGGCGATGTGGGCGACATGAAGGCTGGGTTACTACCAACGAAGCGAAAGAACAATGAGGAGAAAGGCAAGCGTGAGAAGACGCCGATGGGTTCTGAGATCTTTTGCTGAGTAATTTTTCACGCTTACGCACGAAGTCGACCGAGAGCAGCAACCCAAACGTTATACAACTAGACTTTATCACGGTATTTTATCCATCTTTCTAGTCAAAACTTTCACGTCCAATTTACAGATAAATCTTCTTGGTCTGGTCGCGCTTGGCATGCAGTACGATCGCGTCTATCACATACTCGTTAAACAGAAGACAGTCACCGTTTGCGAATCGTAATCGCTTCTTGTGCACCAAGTCCGGGTACAAGTCGTCCGTCAGGATCTGCACGTACTGAGCGGCCGGTGTCGTGTCGGGTGACAGCTTGACGCGCGCCGTCGGCAGGTAAATGACACAGAGCATCAGCAGAACGATGAAAATACACCCAGCCACCGTCACCAAAGCCGTCGCAGTCGGAACGTTCACTTCAATGTCCGTCGTAGCACGAGCCCCTGTGGTATTACCGGAACCAGAGCCACTGGATGCCATCGCAGCAGATACAGCGAGACGTCGCCGCGATATGGCATCTGCGAACGACGTCGGCACGCCACGCTGGACCAAGTAAAACAGCGCTGCAGAGTACATCTCGTGGGATAGTTGATTGTCCAAGTAGAAGTGGTTTGCCTCGAGGTGAGTTAGGTACGCATCCACCAACGAAGTGCATTCAGACGGACTTGGACGCACAAGCATGCCATTCGATGATACCAGTCGGTGCCACGACGTGAGTGTATCGATTTCCGGACGAGCCATATCTGGGATTGAGGCCGGATGCAGCGTCACAAGAGCCATAGGGTGCATCAAGTCTTTTGTGGCCAATGCTTCCTTTCCGACCAGTAGTACACCGTCGTCTGTGGTGAACGGCAGGCTCAGACCGAGACACCCAGAGTCATCCACACACGCAGCGTCATGGCGAATGTGAAGTGGGCTCAGCTGCCACGCCAACTTGCCCATCGAGACTGTTAGTACCTCGTGCGGCGTTTGAGTTGCCGTCACTTCCTGGACAAACTGATTGGAACTGCTGTAGACTAAGGCGGAGTTCTCGTCCTCTGTGTACGACGCGATAGAGATGGCCGGCCGCAGGTGAAGTTGTTCCAGGACACTTGTTGAAGTGGCGTAGACACAACCGGTAGCTCCACACAGTCTCGTTCCCGTATCCTTCGCCTCAACCGGGATTGATACGGTCAGACTAGTAAACTGCACGTCCCCAGCCAGCTCACGGTGCTCCAGGCGCAACATCAGATCCCCTACTCGAGTGCTGCCGGGTAGCACTGCCTTCAAAGCACTCGCAACCACATGAACCAGCTCATCGAATGACTGAGGAGTTGCCGCATCCACTGAAGCATTCACTAGCCCCAGTTTAGCCAAACCCTGCTTGAAGGTCGAGTACAGTTCTGCAACGTCCCAGTCGTCCGTGATCATGTACTTCTCAGTCGTGGCCAGGTAGTCGCGTAGTGGAATTTCCGCTGACCTCGTCGGCACCGTTGTGTGCGATGAAAGCAGAGCAGTGTTCCACGCGTGCGACGGGAAGCTGAAGCTCACGGATGTGGTGTCCACGTCGTCGGCCCAGGCTCCCCACTGCTGTGCTGCGTCGTCATCGTTGTGTTTTGACCATTTGCAGGTATCTTCGAACGCGAATGGAGTCGTAGTTCCGGTCATCGATGTCCGAAGGATCGAGTGAAGCACATCACCGTTGGAGTCAACAGACCATGGCGTCGCTATCTGTGTCAACATGGTTGCGAGATCGTCCGAGACAGCAAGGCGTCGAGGAAGTTGCCCGGCTTCATAGGTGGTTTGACCAACATAGACACTCGTAAATCCGACGTTCATGAGGATAATGACAGTCTTTAGCCCCCAAAAGATGCAGCGTGCCTTGGCAACTGAGTGCATCCGCGCTGGCTGGTCTCCGGGGTACAGACTACAATTGTGCAGATATGTGGCGAGCGTGGGGAAGATGAGCGTCTCGCAGAATACCTCGAAGACCTTGCCTCCCGCGAACAGTATATAACCGAAGAGCGTGTTGTAGTCCTCCACGACGGACGAGGCCTTGGTAGACAGCGTCTCGTTGGCTGGCAGTTTGTTCTCGTACACGTATGTGAGCGTCTTCTTGTTGCTCGTGAGCAGAGCAAAGCCGAATGCGAAGATAAGTGCCACTGCCACGCACAGCACGAAGCGCGCGAGCCGCAGACTCATGTCCACGATGGTGTTGCGGTCGGCCAGCGCGTTGGTGCGCGCCATGTCGTTGATTGTCGACTCACCCGGGGCGAAGCTGCGCTGCAGGTCGTCGCCGCCATTGCCGGCAGTGGGTAAAGAGACTGGCATGAAGTTGCTCGAGTGTAAAGTGGAGGTGTCTGTCTTGGCGGACGCAGGGGAGGCGCCAGCGCTATCTCCGAACCGAAGACCGGTCGGAACTCCTCCACGCTGGTCCATCGCGGAAGTGAACCTTTCTTAAAATCCCAGCATCCATAATAGGTAAGAGGTAATGAGCAACACTAATTGCCATAGCAACTTAAACATTTACTCCAAATTAAAGGAAATTATATGGACTGTTTGTGCGCATTATTACAGTTAAGGGGTCTACGATATGAAATCTGATGCAGAGAAAAAGTGGTGGCTGCATCCAAACCTTCCTGATCTACAGGTCGTACAATTTGTACTACAACATGTCGTAGCTCCCAAATTGGGAGTCCCAGTAGCTTCATCATGGGTAGGTTCATTTGGTTCCGCGTTGCACCCGCACTTTGGTAGAACCAATGGTACCAGTAAAGCCAGTTGTTGTGCCGCGCTAGCAGGTTCAAAGCTGCTTTGTTTGTTTGACCGAAGAGTTCCCTGTCTATAGTTGTTTTTATTCTGTATTGAGAGCAATATATTGAAAGGCATTCTTTATTTAACATGTCTGTTAAATTCGATATCACCATTTCCCCACTGCCCATCTCACTCACACATACAATTTTCAAGATAAAGTAAACGTCGTGCTGTAGCGCTACGTTGTGTATCATGAGTGGCAGCAGGAAGCGGCTTCCAGGTGCACCCACAGCGCCTCTGCAGCCGCACCAGTCACTCAGAGCGCAAGCGGAAGCGGAAGCCAAGTACGAAGTGCAATTGGCCGAGCGCCGGCAATTGGAGCAGGACCGCATGTCCTCGTACACAGATGACGCTTTTGAGTGTGAATCGCCGCACGCCATTTTGGCCAGCAGCCGCGGCGTACGGCCTGAGCAGCGCAGTGACCTGCAGACAACGTCTCCGTATTTGGTTGTGGACAATATCGGTCGCCTTCGCGTGGACAGCGTAAGCGACAGCGACGCCCACGACGAAGTCGCGTACGGGGAACTGGCCCAACCGCGACCCGAGATCATTCTGCGGTGGAAGCGGTTCGCGGTGCTGGTGGTATTCACGGCCGCCGTCATGACAGCTATCGCTGCGTGGCTACGCGAGGGTTTCGTGGTGGACAAGGGCGTTCCTGTGGGCACCGCTGATACTAAAGTGGATACGGTCAACTCATACATCGGTCTTATAATGGGCTTCATCGAGTCTATCGTGGGCCTTGGCGTGGAAGAGATTTTCCCCGTCTTTATCGTATACCTGCACAACCTGAGGTGGTATCCGAGCGACGATCCAGCGACCAAAAAGCAGAGCAAGTTCAAGAAGTTCGCACTTACGATCTTCATCCCAGCCGTCATGATGGCCGTGGGCAGTTCACTTTCGGCCGTGCAGGCCAACCAGAAAGATGATAACACTGCAGACAACAACAGTAACTCGACTACGACGACGAGGTTCTTATTGCAGGAAGAAACGATGTTGGGAGTAGCAGGACTGGGGGACACTGTCTTGAAGACAGCCTTGGCACGGAAGGTGGACCCTATGCGGCCTCTGGAGATGTCGACGTGTAGTTCTACAGGGACAGATCTGTTTGATGCTGGTACGCTGCTAACTGCAGCCCCAAAGGCTGTTTTCGGCTTTCCCCTACGCGATTGGGGCGTCGAGTTCGGGAACGGGTGGACGCATGAGGAAGCAACGAAGCGCGTCGAGATTTCTCATCCTGGTGCTGAGGATGCAGCTAGTGACGTGCAGCTCAGCGAGGTAATGTCTCTAGCCACGGCTTACGAGTTGTGGCTGGAAGGGAGAACCATCTTATCGAATAGTGTGAGAGCAACCAGCGCTAACCAAGCCAGCACGCCCCCTCTAAACGCGGACGAGTTTCTGGACGATGTCGTGAGATCTGTATTCGACATGGGACTGCCTCTGGCGGAAATTGTTAGTGTAGAGGCTTCGTTCGAGACGAGGACCCTGAGTTCATTGATGGATTTACATGCCATGACGCTGAAATTGCCGCTGCGCAGCCCGGACAACGCCTCTGTCGTATGTGGTGAAACCAGTTGTGCGTTGCTGGAGCCCCATGTAAACCTCAGACAGCGTCTGCCACGCAAGCAGGTTGGAATAGCGCGAATGAACACGTCCAACGCGGCATTCCTGTATGGTTTCACGACTGTGGCTAGCGTTCAAAGTGGTGCTGCCGTAGCGACACGCTCGTTGGTGCTGTCCTTCGGCCGTTTATCGTGGCGCTTCGATAGTGATGCGTACGAGTGTGAGCCGGGAACATCTTCTGAAGAAGGTTGTCAGGTACTGCACCACCAGCTCGGTGATAGCGATCGCCATTTGGTATTGCCTAAACAGTGGCTCTCGACTCAACTCCAAAGTGGCAGTCGAGAATCTTTTGTCTCTCTTGTTCAGCTCTTGGAGCCCAAGGTTAGATTTCACCACGGACAAACGCCGTCGTTTGCGACGTTGGAGCATTTAGAGTCATGGCCACAGGACAGCACACAAACATGCTTGGCTGCAATGGATACATACCTCCAGTATGTGGACAGCAATCACTTTTACGTGAGTGGCGATATGGTGGAGACGATGGCAGCATCTGCGCTGATGTTTATTTTTCAAAACGCTCGAGTATTGGATAATGCACCAGGTGTGGAGATCATGATGACCCAACGACGACTTGTTGATACTGATACACGACGAGTAAAGGTCTTCTTGACGAATACCAAGGTAGGCAACGTGTGTACGTGGACGGGATGCGGTGTGCTACTGCTGTTGACGGTGTTGGTCCTCGTGTTACCAAACGAACGGGCTCGGCTTGCACCTCCGCGTGGAGGTAATGCACGTGCTGAGAGATTCGTAGCAGTGCAGACGGAGCAAATTTACCCCAATCTTATTTACAAGAAGCGCTTCTTGATTGGCAAAACGGGTGAGGAGATTAAATTTGGCGAGTTTGCCGTCGAGTCTGTCGGACTACACCACAAGATGGAGGAAGACGAGCAGATCTACATTTGAGTTGTTTAATTGTTCACGAAGTGTATAGATGAATTGCTAATGCTACAAGTGAACCGGTGAAATTAAGACACTATCTTTTGTGC